AACTGATTTTTTAAAACCTAATAGATAGGCCTGGTTTCATGCAATTTCCACTACTCTAATAAGCCTAGACGTGCTCTAGAAACTTCATGGGCCAATGGTGGGCCGGACTTTGCCCAGTAGAATGCTGGCCCAATTTCAGAAGCGCAATCTCCACCATCAGAAGTCGCATCTTCATGAATTACAACTCGCTTCCCCCCCCCCCCACCGGAAACTTTTGCAATCATTCAACCTTCTTCCCTGAGTTTTCTCCATCAATTCTGCAGATCAAATGAACCCAAATTGTTAACAGAAGTTCTAAATTAGTACAAAAGGTGATAGCTTTAAGCTTTACCAATAATGGCCGGAGTTTCAGTGGCGGCAGAGTGGCAGCTTCTCTACAACCGGTACTACCGGAAGCCGGAGCTGTACCAGATGCAGTGGAAGCACGTTGACCTCACGCGGAACAAGGTAGCGTGTGCACCGTTCGGAGGTCCCATTGCCGCCATCCGCGACGACGCCAAGATCGTCCAGCTCTTCGCCGAATCGGCCCTTCGCAAGCTCCGCATCTTCACATCCTCCGGCCGATTGATCTCTGAGACCGTCTGGAAGAATCCCGGTGGTCGCCTCATCGGTATGTCATGGTCCGACGATCAAATTCTAATCTGCATCACCCAAGACGGCACTGTTTATTTTTACAATATCCACGCCGAGTTAATCAATAATTTTTCTTTGGGCAAAGAGTGTTTCGAAAGTAGCGTTGTGGAGTGTGTGTTCTGGGGAAACGGTGTCGTTTGTATCAATGAGTTGTTTGGGATTTTTGCGGTGCCGGATTTGAAGAATCCCAGGGCGATTAAAATGTCGGATTGTAATTTGGAGGATTTGCCGCATTGTATAGCTGTGATAGAGCCGCAGTACACTATGTCGGGGAATGTGGAGGTTTTGTTGGGGGTCGGGGATCATGTCTTGTTAGTGGAAGAGGATGGGGTGCAGCAGCTTGGTGTAGGTATAGGGCCTTTGCAGAAGATGGTAGTTTCGAGGACTGGGAAGCTTCTGGCATCATTCACGCACGACGGGAGGCTTCTGGTTATGTCAACGGATTTTTCAAATATTATCTTTGAGTACACTTGTGAGGTATAATTAATTTCATCTTAAGGATTTGTGAATTTCAACTCAAAATTATATGGATAAATGAAGTGGTACTACATTGCAGTGGTTGATTTGTTTGGAAAAAAAAATTGTCTTTATGGATTGAATGCATACTATATAAAGTCAAAAGTGCGACTCTGTAATGGTTAAACTGGATGAGCTGGTTGAGAATGGGGTATCCTAGGTAGAACCTGTATCTCTAGCATTATGGGTTACCTTTTATTTGATTTTTCTTTGTAATGCCAACCATCACCTTTTGTTATAGAAGTGCTCAAAATGCATGAGGTGATTCTGCAATGCTTTCCCACATCAGAATCTGGAAATAACAGTCTTAGTAATTCAGGGTGAATAGTAAGAGTTAGAAAATAGTATTTTTTGGAGTCTTCTTTGCAGCAATATGACTTCTGAGTTTTCTGTGGACATCGCGTCAGTAGTACCTCTAATAAATCAGAAGGCACACGCCGAAAAATTGCCTAGTTTTAGAATTCTTTATTCTGTTATCTTCTTGAGTTTATTATCAGCTGACCCTAGAATTAAGTCTTATTTAAAATACATAGATGGGGAGTATTGATGATTTGGATACATAAATATTGTCTTGCTGAGTACTTAGTAACGACATCAATGAGATCATATTATTTTC